CGACAGACTCTGCGTGCAAAGCGACTGCCTTGGACAAGCGTTCGCAACACAAGGCCGCCGCGCACTTTGCACCGCGAGCCCCGAGCAGCTGAGTCCGCTCAGTAATTTCTTCCAGCCCTCCTTGGACCCTGGAGGCCTCCCCTTGGAACCCTCTGTAGGCTTCTCGGGCGTCAGTTGGAGGCTTCCCGGGAACCCGTCAAAGGTCTTTGAAGCCATCTTGCGGGGGACGGCCCTTGGAGTGCCTTGGACAAGCGTTCGCAACACAAGGCCGCCGCGCACTTTGCACCGCGAGCCCCCAGCAGCTGAGTCCGCTCAGTAATTTCTTCCAGCCCTCCTTGGACCCTGGAGGCCTCCCCTTGGAACCCTCTGTAGGCTTCTCGGGCGTCAGTTGGAGGCTTCCTGGGAACCCGTCAAAGGTCTTTGAAGCCATCTTGCGGGGGACGGCCCTTGGAGTCTCCTCGCGCTCGCCCTCTGGAGCCCCTCTTGCGGCCCTGTTTTGTTCACTCCTTCTGCGATGTCTGGCATCCTCTCCCCCCCCCCCTCCTCCTCCACATCCTCCTCCTCCCCCTTCCTTTTTGTGCAAGAGCCATGGCACACGTGCCACTTGTTTTTTGAGGGCGAATCCCTAAGATTGTCATCGCCTTTCAGCGTGCCCATCTTAGGGATAGGGATACGTTCGAGGCTGGTAATAGTAGTCCCCGCCGGGAGAAAAAGTGCGCACGTCCGAGCGACACCGAGTCCGGCGCAGAGCCACTCGCGCGTGCAGCCGAGCGAAACCTGGACCCGCAGAAAGGACGGCCGCGACGCCCTCTCGCGAACCGAAGACGGCCCATTCACTTTATCGACGTGTCAGGGCAGGAGGTCTATCAGCCTCCGACAAAAAGTGCACACGTCCGAGCGACACCGAGTCCGGCGCCAAGCCACTCACCGAAAACGGCCAATCCACTGATCGACGTGTCAGGGTAGGAGGTCTATCAGCCTCCGAAAAAAGTGCACACGCCCGAGCGACACCGAGCCCGGCGCAGAGCCACTCGCGCGTGCAGCCGAGCGACACCTGGGCCCGCAGAAAGGACGGCCGCGACGCCCTCCCGCGAACCGAAGACGGCCCATCCACTTCATCGACGTGTCAGGGTAGGAGGCTAGCTTCAACCGGAAGAGGTGCGCCCTCGACCCGCGAATCCAAAAAGTGTCAGGGTAGGA